GTCATGGAACGTGGTCTCGGTGCGGTTCTTTAGTCCGGACCAAATTTAACTGGTCCACTTTCACACCTGCTCAAACGAACCGTACTTGCAGGTGTTCCAGACTCCAGTCCGCTTTAAGTGGACTAAATGGTGCAGGTGTGAAAGCACCCTAAAGCAGAACTAAAGCAGGACTAAAGCAGAACTAAAGCAGGACTAAAGCCGGACTAAAGCAGGTCTAAAGTAGGTCTAAAGTAGGTCTAAAGCAGGAATAAACCAGGTCCAAAGCAGGTCCAAAGCAGGGCTAAAGCAGGTCTAAATTGGGACTAAAGCAGGAATAAAGTGATGTGTTTCATTATACTGTTTTGTCTGCTTTCTGGGTTCTCCTCTGCTCCTCTTTCTCTAATCTCACAGTTCTCCTCTGCTCCTCTGTCTTTAATCTCACAGCCCTCCTCTGCTCCTCTTTCTCTAATCTCAAAGTCCTCCTCTGCTCCTCTGTCTTTGATCTCAAAGTCCTCCTCTGCTCCTCTGTTTTTTCCAGTGCTGCTGCTGAACTCTAAGGAGACGCAGGCGGAGCTGGGCTGGACCTCCTTCCCCCCGAATGGAGTGAGTGCTTCCTCTGTCTGTTCAGATCTCTCCTCCCTCTAACCTCCTGGTCCTGCTTCTCTCTCTCTCTCTCTCTCTCTCTCTCTCTCTCTCTCCTCCCTCTAACCTCCTGGTCCTGCTTCTCTCTCTCTCTCTCTCTCTCTCTCTCACTTTCTCTCTCTCTCTCCTCCCTCTAACCTCCTGGTCCTCTCTGTATATCTCTCTCTCACTTTCTCTCTCTCTCCTCCCTCTAACCTCCTGGTCCTGCTTTTCTCTCTCTCCCCTCTCTAACCCCCTGGTCCTGCTTCTCTCTTTCCCCCCTCTCTCTAACCTTCTGGTCCTGCTTCTCTCTCTCGCTCCCCCATCTCACTTACCTCCCGGTCCTGCTTCTCTCTCTCTCTCTCTCTAACCTCCTGTTCTCCTCTCTCTCTCTCTCTCTTACCTCTCTCTCCTCTCTCTTCTCTCTCCTCTCTAACCTCCTGTTCTCCTCTCTCTCTCTCTCTCTCTTACCTCTCTCTCCTCTCTCTTCTCTCTCCTCTCTAACCTCCTGTTCTCCTCTCTCTCTCTCTCTCTCTCTCTTACCTCTCTCTCCTCTCTCTTCTCTCTCCTCTCTAACCTCCCGTTCTCCTCTCTCTCTCTCTCTCTCTCTCTCTCTTACCTCTCTCTCCTCTCTCTTCTCTCTCCTCTCTAACCTCCTGTTCCCCTCTCTCTTCACTTTCTTCTCTCTAATCTCCTGCTCCTCTCTCTCTTCTCTCGCTCCTCTCTAACCTCATCTCTCCCTCCACAGTGGGAGGAGATCAGTGGTGTGGATGAGAAGTACAAGCCCATCCGGACGTACCAGGTGTGTAACGTGATGGAGCCTCTGCAGCAGAATAACTGGTTGCAGACTGGTTGGGTGGCGCGGCGAGGAGGACAGAGGATCTTTGTGGAGCTCCAGTTCACTCTCAGAGACTGTAACAGCATCCCAGGCGTGGCGGGGACCTGTAAAGAGACCTTCAACCTCCTGTATGTGGAGGCGGACCGAGACCTGGGCAGTGTGACCAGAGAGGACCGATACACCAAGATAGACACCATCGCAGCCGACGAGAGCTTCACGCAAGGGGATCTGGGAGAGCGCAAAATGAAGCTCAACACTGAGGTGAGAGAGCAGGCATCTCTCTGGTGTCTCTCTTCCTGTCTCTGATCTCTCTCCGCTCTCTCTCTGGTCTCTCTGGGCACTGTCACTCTGTCTCTGGTCTCTGGACTCTCTCTCTGTCTGGTCTCTCTCTCTCTCTCTGGCATCTTTCACTGGTCTCTCTCTCATCTCATGCTGTCTCTCTATTCTCTCTGGCCTGTCTATCATTTCTCTATGCTCTCTCTATGCTCTCTACTCTCTCTCTCTACTCTCTTTGGTCACTCTCTCATATCACTCTGCTCTCTCTCTCTCTTCTCCATAGATCTATAATATGAACTGGATAGGGTATTACTAGCTTACAGCTGTCCCACCTATGGGCACAGGGGGCACCCGTGGTAATGCAGACTAAATTAATGTCCCATGGAACTCAATGTAAACTAAATCAGCTCGAACTCAGCTGACAGAAAGCCTATACAGCTTTCATTAAGACTGGATTTTGTGGGGATTTTAGTGTCCCTTGTCATCCTGATTTTTTTCTTCTTCTTAAATCCTTCAGTTTTCACAAGCCATTCATTTGAATAGGACGCCATCTTGGATCACTGGGGCTTGCTTTACTTTTTCTCTGCTCTCTCGGCTCTCCTCTAACGCAGGTCTCTCTTTCACTCTCTCTGGTCTCTCTCTCTGCACTCCTCTAACACAGGTCTCTCTCTTTTCAGGTGCGTGAGATTGGCCACCTGAACAGACAGGGTTTCCACTTGGCCTTCCAAGACGTTGGAGCCTGTGTGGCCCTGGTGGCTGTAAGGGTGTACTACAAGCGGTGTCTCTCCACGGTGCAGAACCTGGCGGTTTTCCCGGACACGGTGGCGGAGGCGGCGTTCGCTACGCTCGTGGAGGTACGGGGCGTTTGCGTCAACAACTCAGAGGTGGACGCCGACAGTCCTCCCAGAATGCACTGCAGCGCCGAGGGGGAGTGGCTTGTGCCAATCGGCAAATGCAGCTGCAGCGCAGGCTTTGAGGAGGGACACAGCAGCTGTGAAGGTGAGAGCTCAGAGGGAACCATGTGGCAATGTTGTAATTTATGGTGTCTCTGGTCTGGTCTCTCTCTTTGGTCTCTCTCTGGTCTCTCTCTCTGTTACCCTGAAACTGCCGCCTCTTCCTGGTTTATAGTCTCTTTGATTTGTCATCTGTGTCCTCTCTGACATCTTCTCAGTCCAGATCCATTTTGTGCTCCTCTCTTTGTAAAGCTAATTCTCATAGAATAGTTAAGTATAACATTCCATAGAAGCCCTATCAATAGCATGTTATGGGAATCATTTCCCCTGGGGCCTATGTGTGGGAAACACTGCATTAGAATTAGATTTAGCATTAGCAATAGCATTAGCGTGGGTGTCACACACTGACGTATCGCTCTAGGCAAGTTGTGAACTATCACACTCCAGCTTGTATTGTTGTGCAATGCATCGTGGGTGTCTGTGAAGCTTGTTCTTATAATAGTGTGTGATGAGGAGTACGTTTGGAGCAGAGACTGTACACAGAACAGAGGGAAGTGCTCATAGACAAAGTTTGACTTGTGAAAGAAAGCTGAAATTGAGTGTGTAGATGGGATGTGATCATAGACTGTTTACAGGCTCCCATTGACTTACAAGTCAAGAGGAAATACATCCCTTTGGCCACTGTTTGTGTCTGACAATTTAAATCTGGTATCTCTCTCTCTCTCTCTCTCTCTCTCTCTCTCTCTCTCCCTCTCTCTCTCTCTCTCTCCCTCTCTCTCAGCCTGTCTCTCTCTCTCTCTCTCAGCCTGTCTCTCTCTCTCTCTCTCTCTCCCTGTCTCTCTCTCTCTCTCTCTCTCTCTCTCTCTCTCTCTCAGCCTGTCTCTCTCTCTCCCTCTTCCTCCCTCCTCATCAGTCTAATGTTATTGTTGAAGAGACATTTGTGTGTAATTGCAAAGATCCAGTGGAGCATCGCGCTGCTCGTCTCTGAGAAGATCTGTCAATAAACTTGAGTCTCTGAGTATCTGCAACCCTCAGCTGCTGCAGCTGCAACCACAGACACAACCACAGACACATCCACAGACACATCCACAGACACAACCACAGACACAACCACAGACAAAACCACAGACACAACCACAGACACAACCATAGACACATCCACAGACACATCCACAGACACAACCACAGATACAACCACAGACACAACCACAGACACAACCACAGACACAACCACAGACACAACCATAGACACAACCACAGACACATCCACAGACACAACCACAGACACATCCACAGACACATCCACAGACACAACCACAGATACAACCACAGACACAACCACAGACAGAACCACAGACACAACCACAGACACAACCATAGACACAACCACAGACACAACCACAGACACATCCACAGACACATCCACAGACACAACCACAGACACATCCAGACACATCCACAGACACAACCACAGATACAACCACAGCACACACATCCACAGACACAACCACAGACACAACCACACACACAACCACAGACACAACCATAGACACAACCACAGACACAACCACACACACAACCATAGACACAACCACAGACACAGCCATAGACACAACCACACACACAACCACAGACACAACCACAGACACAACCACCGATACAACCACAGACACAACCACAGACACAATCAAAGGCCCAACCACAGACACAACCACAGACACATCCACAGACACATCCACAGACACATCCACAGATACAACCACAGACACAACCACAGATACAACCACAGACACATCCACAGACACAACCACAGACACAACCACAGACACATCCACAGACACAACCACAGACACATCCACAGACACAACCACAGACACATCCACAGACACATCCACAGACACATCCACAGACACATCCACAGACACAACCACAGATACAACCACAGACACATCCACAGATACAACCACAGACACAACCACAGATACAACCACAGACACATCCACATCCACAGACACAACCACAGACACAACCACACACACAACCACAGACACAACCATAGACACAACCACAGACACAACCATAGACACAACCACAGACACAACCACAGACACAACCATAGACACAACCACAGACACAGCCATAGACACAACCACACACACAAACACAGACACAACCACAGACACAACCATAGACACAACCATAGACACAACCATAGACACAACCACAGACACAACCACAGACACAACCACAGACACAACCACCGATACAACCACCGATACAACCACAGACACAACCACAGACACAACCAAAGGCCCAACCACAGACACAACCATAGACAAATCCACAGACACAACCATAGACACAACCACAGACACAGCCACAGACACGGTAACAAACCAGAGAGAGCATTTTCTCTGGTCTCTCTCTGGTCTTTCTCTGGTCTCTCTCTGGTCTCTCTCTGGTCTTTCTCTGGTCTCTCTCTGGTCTCTCTCTGGTGTCTCTCTTGCCTCTCTCTGGTTTCTCTGGCCGCTCTCTGCTCTCTCTCTTTCCTCTCTCTGGCCTCTCTCTGGTCTCTCTCTGGTCTCTCTCTGCTCTCTCTCTTTCCTCTCTCTGGCCTCTCTCTGGTCTCTCTCTGGTCTCTCTCTGCTCTCTCTCTTTCCTCTCTCTGGTCTCTCTCTGGTCTCTCTCTGGTCTCTCTCTGGTGTCTCTCTTGCCTCTCTCTGGTTTCTCTGGCCGCTCTCTGCTCTCTCTCTTTCCTCTCTCTGGTCTCTCTCTGGTCTCTCTCTGGTCTCACTCTGTTCTCCCTCTCTGAGTTTTACGTCAGTATAAAAGCAGTGGTCTGTGTCTCGATGTGTGTTGAATATTCATGCTCCGCTCTCCCTCCGCAGCAGCGCTATTGATCAGCTCTAATGCTCTACTGAACACACACACACACACACTCACACACAGAAACACACACACTCACACACAGAAACACACACTCACACACAGAAACACACACACACGTGCTACGACGCCACAAAATCCACTTTTACTACAGCTCTTAGCTTACTGTTATAACAGAATCCCCACCATAGTCTGATTACAGATGGACAATGCTAACCTGCTAGCTAATTGATGTCAAATGGGAAAGTGCTCATGGTGAAGTTTGGCTTCTCTCTTTGGCTCCTATTGACTTCCATGTGGACACGATTATGTATGCTGACCCAGTGCTTTAAGTACCGGCCCTCTTCCAAAAAAATAGCTCTTGAGGATAATGCCACCTGTCCGTGCGCCAAGAACATGCTTTTGCCGTACCGGTACTTAGTCTATAACTGATACGCTCATTTGCACATTTAATACTTCAGATGCTCCGCTGCTTTCCAGAGCGCCCTTCACACTGCACGCTTGCTTCTTCGTCTCACTGAGAGCAGAGACTACATTACCCATAAGTTTTACGAGCGAAAGGCGCATGCGTCACTCCTAGCACTGTAAACAACTCAAACAACACTTAATAAAACTCAATGTAGTAATTACGACAAAATATGGAAAACAGATGTAAAAAAAATAAAAAAATACTGCATAACCCTATACTTAAATGTATAATAGATGTGTGATGACTCAAAAATGAATCATTCCAAATCATGTGTTAAATTCTAAATCCTTTGGGTAGCTACCTAAAAGGGGTTGGCGAGCTACTGGTAGCTACCTAGCTACAGGTTGGAGACCCCTGAACTACACTGATGCTCTCGCTGTGTGGTCTATGTGGAGGACAGTACGGCCTAGAGAACTGATGTAGGGCAACACAAATCGCATTTGCATTTTTAATTTACTTAGCTCTTTCTAGCTCAAGCATATCCATAAATGAATGTACATAATCCATCCATCCATTTTCTACCCTTTGATACATTTCTGGGTCAGGGGTCTCATAGCACCAGCCCCTCACCGATCCTCTGCAGGTGGTGAGTCCACAGGAGGACGGCTGCTCTCTGAGTGTGAGCATAGCCTTGATCTTTCAGTGGGGGCTTTGGGCAAAGTGGGGTTAAGTGTCTTGCCCAAGGACACAACGACAGCAGTCATCAGAGGGAGTCGGTGGAGAAGGTGCAGAGGTGGGAATTGAACCCACGACCTTCTGGCCTTATGCTCTACCAACTGAGCTACTGTCGCCCCTGAATGTACATAATTGATATATTATTTTTTTTGAAGTTGTCCGTTGACAGTGGTAAATAAAACTTTGGGGAAAAAAGTGCATTAAAAACGTGCAAACATTCCCCTGGGCAAAAAAACCAAGAGAACCGGGCCGTAATATGGTAGTTTTTCATCAGCTTTCATCAGCCTTATGAGCCTGTGGGCGGCACGGTGGCTGAGTGGATAGCACCCTCGCCTCTCAGCAAGAAGGTCCTGGGTTCGAATCCCAGTCAGACCAGGGCCTTTCTGAGTGGAGTTTGCATGTTCTCCCTGTGTCTGCGTAGGTTTCCTCCGGGTACTCCAGTTTCCCCTACCACTAAAAATATGTCCAATAGGCATGTCTGGCAACCCACGTACCGCCTCCTGTACCGGCAACCCCGCTCCCATCTCTGTGTGGAGTGAGAGATAAATGCCCATAATTAACAATTGTAAACCGCTTTGAGACTCAGATCTGCAGTGAAAAGGCGGTATATAAATAAAGATTACTTACTTACCTTAAATGATTTATAAAAATGGCTGAATGTCATGTGTCTTAATGTTTAAAAGACTGTTAGTGTTTTTTACTAAACCCACAACAACCATAGCCCCAGTAAAAGTGTGAGTTTGATTCTGAGGGGGAAAAATAAAATAATTCATGTTAATAACGGGCCAATTTGCAAGGATCAAAAGTTCAGGCCAAGGAGGCACTGGCCGTTTGTTCGAGTTGAATGGACATGATAAAAAGGAGGTGACATTTTGGTACATTTTGAGAACTGGAAGTCCATCTTTGTGTCCGTTTGGAAGACTGCCTGCTGCTGTCTGGCGTCTGAAGTTACGCAGACAGAGAAGAAACAGGGAGCAGAGTGGACATTTCTGCACATTACCGCATGAAGAGGGGTCGAGAGGAAGTGTCAAATATAGATTCTGAACTATGGGCTGTGAAAATGGACTTTGGGTTTTTGGATCTTTGGACATGCCTGGAGTTAAAATTGAAAAAGTGAATACATTTCAAATTTGATACATTTTGTGACAAATGTTCAGTTTTGAGCCATGTTATGTCTCAACAGGGGAATATGGTTTATGGGAAAAAATATGAAATTGTACTATGAAACTTTTTTGTGTGTGTGTTTTTTAATTATTGAGTTATTAAAGTTCCATCATTTGTTTTCCCTGTTGAACATAGATTGTTTGATTTATTAAACTTACAAATAGAAGGGACTATGACATTGGAATGTTGTTTAAGTTATAATTTCGTAAATCACATGTGGCTAAAATATATTTACTGAATAATTGTAATTCACTGTTGACTCCGGCCAGTCTGGACGAAGAGGGTTGTTTGAAGAGGGCCAAGACTAGCCTGCTCTGTACTATTGATATGTTAAATACCAAAGGTGCCGCTTTAAAACTGTAAATATGTATGTTTGTGAGGGGGCTGTGCTTGCAGCCTGGCAAAAAGAAGTTTGAGGCTTGTCAGATCTGACTTTGGAATCAGAGCGAGAGCAGCACTTTCTGCTCTGTCTCTGTTTTAAAAATCACTTCTCCTTGGAAAAGGCAACCAAGATTAAAAATACTTAACTGTGCTTTTTGTTGTGTGAGATTTTGTCAGGTTCAACTGTGGTTAAATATCAGCATTAACACTATTGAATGATACGTTTTAGGAGGTGTTTGTGTGTAAATGGCACAAATGGCTTTCTGGCATTTATGCTGTATTTAAAATCCTCAGTCCTCCACTGTGGAAAATGGCTGGTCGTCAACCATTTCCATTACCTCTTTGGTTATTGATCTGGTTTTTGCACTGCCCTTATCAAATGTCTTCGTCTGGTCAAGTACCGTATCGGACTTCCAGTCGCAGTTGCTTTCATTTGTGCCTTCTGGCAGAAGCATTTTTTTCCTGCAGTTGTTTGTTGGGTGGCGGTTTTTCAAATGACATATTACATTAGTGGTGTTGAATGACTCGACGTGGCACCCACCTCTCAATACCTCGACTTTGCAGGTGTCGCAAACTGCTTTTCGAGTGTCTTCTTTCGACACTGTTAAAACACCCACACCGCTGACATTTTTTTCTCCTCCTCAGTTTTACGTCCCACAATCCAATGCTGCCTTTGCCTTTGCGCCGCTGACACTGTTGCGTCTCACATGCCCAAACAAATAAACACGGCGTCGACCCCCCATATTGAATAAATGAATACATTAAAAAAACTGCTTGCCTTGGCAACCGTCTTAGCGTCACGTCTGTCTCAGGTCAAAGGTTGTCAAAAACTTTCTCTCTGTGTAATCTCTCTGATCTCTCCCTGATCTCTCCCTGATCTCTCTCTGGTCTCGCTCTGGTCTCGCTCTGATATATTTCTCTGGTGTCTCTGGTCTCTTTCTGGTCTCTCTCTCTGTGTCTTTGTTTAAAGTCAGGTGTCATGTCATGTCATGTAACATCATATTCTACCCCTTTATTAATCCATTCCTGGGTTGGGGGAGTGGCAATCAGAGCTCCAACCCAAGTCTCAATGCACCATAAAGTCAGGTGTCTCAGCTTTAATGCTGTGTCCCTGTATCTGCAGAACTCCCTGTGTTTGAATCAGCAGTGCGACCTCGTCCTGCTGTTAGCGAAGCCTGATGAAGTGCGGCTACGCTAACAACAATACGAGTCTGGAGGTCAGAGCGGGGCGAGAAAACTGCTGCTAAGAAACACACCGAGGAGAGAGAGAGAGGGAGAGAGGGAGAGGGAGACCAGAGAGAGGAGAGAGAAAACTGCTGTAAAGAAACACACCGAGGAGAGAGAGAGAGGGAGAGAGGGAGAGGGAGACCAGAGAGAGGAGAGAGAAAACTGCTGTAAAGAAACACACAGAGGAGAGAGAGAGGGAGAGGGAGACCAGAGAGAGGTGAGGGGGTAGAGAAAGATAGAGGGAGAGCAGAGAGATGGGCAAGAAAACTGCTGCTGAGAAGGAGAGAGCGGGGGAGAGGAAGAGTGAGGGAGAGGGAGACCAGAGAGAGAGAGAGAGGAGGAGGGAGGAGTGAGAAAATTTCTCCGAAGAAACACAACCAGGAAAGGGAGACCAGAGAGACTGGGAGAGAGGGGGGGAGAAAGAGAGAGAGGGTCCTCCTCAAACCGCCATGAATAATGTATTGGAGCAAAGGAAGCGATAACAGAGTGAGAACAGACGACAAAACTACAGCTGTCTTTGGACCGGAAATC